AACTCGTCATTTGCTTGATAAAGGCATTGCAGACGAAGCTCAATTAATTAAAAAGCTGGGTGCAAAATACTTGTATATTATACCTTAATTTTTTCTTCTAAACCAGATATTGCTGTCATCCAGAACTTCTTATCCTGCTCGTACCTGCTAGATATAGCTTTTAAACTTTCAGCCTTTTCTCCACAGTCTGGTCTATAGACAAAAAAAAAAAAAAAATAAATATCAGGGAGGTAATATACAATAAATAAGCATGGCTTAGTATCTAAATTTAAGATATTTGGAGAATATACTTGACTGAATAATCACAATATCAAATCATTTGCCAAAACCACACAGAAAATTATCAGCAGAAGGCTCATACATTAGAACTCTCATTTATGAAAATTTTCAGTGAGTTGACATAAAATAAGGACTTAAAACTGAGAAGCAATCTCACAATTTGTTTCAAACAAGAAAAAAGCACCAGAAGAATTACGAAGCAGATGCATGAAGATGCCACAGTACTCTTTTCATATACTGGACATCAGATGGCAGAAAAAATATATTAAGGTGAAAATTTATAGTGTCCTGTTTGTACTTGACATAAAAGGGCTTTGTGAAGTGCTTACCTAGAGAATAAGACTGGAAAAACTCTGTTGTCAAGCTCCATTCTAACCTTTTCCAGCTGCTCGTTTGCAGCTGTCAAAGACATCCAGGCTTGATAGCATTCATCTGTTTTGCGCTGACACTGCTGACTTAATTCTTCTATCTTTTTCTCATACTTAGCTGTCGATTTCGGTCGCAAGCCCTTTTCCTGATGCATAGTGTCATTACATGATTCAGAAGTAGCAATAAAAACTTAACATTAGAAATCGAGAACTGCACTGTGCCCATTCTTTACCTGAGCTAGAAGAACTTCTATTTCAGCTGCACAATTCTGACACCTAAATACTTCATGCGTCACCTGAGAATCTATGTCCAAGTAGAAGTAAAAATAATAAAATTAGAATCAGTTGCATCTTTGTGAAGTCAGATTTGGAATAACCTATAAATTCTAGGTGGAATCTACCTGCCAATTTTGGTGCTTTGCGAATGCAAATTCCACTAACTATAGGACTTCCATGAACACCTTCAAACCTTATTAGGATCATACCATCCTCCTTAACAGTGACTCTACAGTCAACAAGCCGAAGTGGCTTGTTTGCTCCAGCCACGGCAAATATATCAAAGTCAGAGAGAACCTGCCAGTTTTATGACATTTAGAGCACAATCATTAGTACACTACAACTATTCAGCATAAAGAGGTCATATCAGAAAGATTTTAGGCCGAAACTTGCCTTCTCATCTTGAATCACGACATTGAATACTCTCATTCCTCGAGGCCCATAGGTATACATTATCTCAGCAAAATGAAGGTCAACAAAGTAATCCCCAGGGGGAAGATTGTTGAACTGGTAGCTAAAGTTCCCGAATCGTGCAGACTGATATACAAATGGGTAATCACCAGCCTCAATTATGCATTCATCTGTCCTTGTAACATCCCCGCCTAGATACTTATCATCTGCCGAAAATTCTACAACCAATTCTGCTTGACTTGAAGCCTCACAGCCAGCATTAACAAATGTGATTATGTCCTCTAGTTACAAAAAGCAAAGAGTCATCAGGAGATGAGGAGAAAATTCTCTAAGCCCTTAAACCATAATAATTGTATAATCACTATTAAGTTCAACATTCCTCGTTCTAAAAACAGATTCCACATTTTCCAAAGCACAATTTATCTTCTCCCCTCCTTCCCCTTCATCTCACCTCTCTAAAATTTTTAGCAAGGTACAAACAAGCATTAACAAATCAAGTTTAAATGCTGATTTTTGTTGCATTTAACAGTATTTCCTAAAGAAAATAAAATTTCAGTTCAAAATAATTTCCTTCAAACCTAATCAGCATTACTCATCAAGGTAACTGAATCACATTTACAGCTCAAATATATAAAATTTATGAAACATATAGTATATAGATCATTCTTATGCTTATTCGAATTCATTCATTTAGCTGTGTATCGCACGGGTTTAAAAGCTAGTCATATACATTAATTACATAAATTAAAAAAAAATTCATCAACCCTTCAGACAGCATTTGCAGTAGACATTTGACTAATTTATACTGTACTATAAATTACAAACACCCAATTTGTATTTATTTATTTTTTTTCCAAATGTAATCACTTTAAATCAAAACTCAAAGAGCTTAAAAACCAATAACCAACAATATTTGGGAAAAAAAAGAAAAATCCTAACCTGTACAACAAGATCTTGAAAACCCATTTGGAACTAATTTCGAACTCGGGTCGCAAACCATAGAATCCCCAGAAAATTCTTGAAAATCGTTCATTTGGGAATCCTTAAATTCTTCAATTAGGGTTGTTTCGACCATAACATCTTGTTGGTGAATTTCAGGTGGATCTTTCTTCTCCCAATCCAAAACCCCAGAAGATGAAATGCCCGGAATTAGGGTTTCTATTTTGGTAAATTCGTCGAATTTGCAGTTTTCCATGAGAAAAAAAAAAGAAAAAAAAAATCAATCAATTGCTTGAATTGTTACTCAAAAATGTTGATGAAAGTTTTCAAATTATGAATTTTGGAGATATAAAGAGTAAGAAATGAGTCTTTTTTGGGGTTTCCTTTTTAGTGCGAAGGGTGTTCAAATTTTGCAATTTCGACCGTTGGAGAATGAAGATTGGCCGTTACATGGAGGTGATATAAAATAATGACAGACAAATCAATAATGAATACGTTAGCTTTACAAGGTTATTTTTTAATTTTTATTTTTAACAAAAAAAATTTCCGGAGCTTTATGGGCCATACAGTTTCGGAAGATTTGGCCCATTCTATTTTTCCCATGGCCCCACCACAAGGCCCAAAGATACATAGAAACAACGAAAATTTTTACCTACACCAGGTAGAGCTCCCTAACTCCCCCCATAGTACTACGTCGTTTTACTCTTTTTCTGGTTTTCTTCTTTATTTTTTTTTCTCCTTTTTTGTTTCCTTTTCTTATTATTTTCCTTCTTACCTTTCAAGTCATTTATATATACTTCCTCCGTTTTTTTTTTAGTTGACACTATTTGACTTTTACATTATTTACAAATTATACTTTAACTAGCTTTTGTGATTTATAGCTACGATAAAATATATCAAGTGGGATCTTGTTTGAATCGTCTCAATGTATATTTTATTAATATTTATTTTTTATAATTTTATAATGTCGAGAATTAGAGACATTAATCATTAAAATAGTGTGTTGGCAAGCGTGAAAAGAGAATGGTGTTAACTAAATAAAAACGGAGATAGTATGATTCATAACCTAATTTTTTGTTTTTTCGTTCGTTTTTTTGTAGTTTCTCTCTCTTCTTCAACATTATTTCTCTCTCATTCACGTTATTTTTCTCTTATTCATGGATGAATCATTGATTGGAGCTGTTGATTGTGATAATGAAGTCCTGCATTCTTCGATTGCCGAATTTGATCGTGATTGTGAAGTTATTTTTCCTACTTTTGGTCGATTGCTTGATTAATTCGTTGATAAATGTGAGTTGTTTTATTATTTCGATTAATGTTTGCTGTTTACAATTCAATTTAATTTTAAGTTCAATTTTGATCAATTTTGTCTCTGATTTCGATTAATGTGAGGTATAATTCAATTTTGTTTGCTGTTTTGTTTTAAATTGTTTTTTGATTTTTTATTTTACGTAAATTCTTATTAGAATATCTGTTTTTATTCAATTTCTCAAGTGTTTTTTTAATCAATTTAGCCTTTATTTTAGTTCAATTTGTGTTTGTTATTATAATTCAAGTCAATTGAAGTTCATTTTGATCAATTTTGTCTCTGATTTCGATCAATATGATTTATAATTCAAGTTGGTTAGTTGTTTTTTGTTTAATGATTGCTGATTGTGATTACTATTTTCAATAATTATATTAGAACTTCTGTAATAATTTGATTCCACTACTATAAAACGGCCTATTTCCGATGGACAGGTTCCGACAAACATGTAATTTCATCGGAAAATTCAAAATTTTCGACGGATTTATATTCTGTCGGAAATTGCTGACGAATTCAACAATTCCGTCGAAAATCCGTCAAAAATTTCCGATGGATTGTATATTCGGACGGATTTTTTCGGTCGTAAATTACAATTTCCGACGAATTTATATTCCGTCAGAAAATAATTTTTTTTTTATTTTAAAAAAAGGAGATACCCCATTTAAACAAACCCTAAAGTCCTAAACAAGCAGCCCCCTTGATTATTTTTTCTTTTTCTCCCTTCCGCCTCTTCTCCTTCTCTCTCCTCTTCTCACGTCTCTTTCTCTCTCTCTCTCCTCTTTCCTCTTCTCCTTCTCTTTCTCTCTTTAACCAAATTTTCAAGATGAATTTCAAAACCCATTTCAGTTAAGGTATGTTTTTTTGTGTTGTTAATTTTTTTTTTTTTTGGGTTGTGGTGTCGCCGTCTCGCTGGTGACGTGGTGATTTGTTCTCTTTCCTCTTCTCTTTAATCACCGGCGGTTTGGTTGCTTGTTGGTGTTTTAAAATTTAATGGTTTTTAAGGTCAAATTCGACCATGAAAACTCTAGATCTAGACTTTTCATGGTCGAATTTGGTCTTATTAAACCAAATTCAAGATGGAATTCAAAACCAGTTTCAGTTTATTGAGGTATGTTTTACGGGTTTTTTTTTTTAATTTTTTTTTCGTTTTTTTTTTTTTTTTGTACTGTCGTGGTGGGCCTGGCGTTGGGTAGGGTTTTGGTTGCTGTCGTGGTGGGTATGGCGTTGGTAGGGTTTTGGTTTGGTTGTGGGTTTGGTTAAGGTTACGGTGTGTTTGGGTGATGATTTTACGATGGTGGATCTGGGTTAGAGGCTGGTGGCGTAGGATGAGTCTGGTTGGTGGGGTTGGGTACATCTGAGTTAGAGGTTAGTCTGGTTGGTGGGGTTGGGTAGGTCTAGTGAGGGTTTGGGCTAGTTGTGTGAGGTGAGGGCTGGGGTGGGGGCTGGTTGTGTGGGGTGACGGTTGGTGGTGGTAGGTTTTTTTTTTGTTTTTTTTCCAGCATTTTTCGACAGACTTTTCTGGGCCGGAAAATCTCTTCCGACAACTGAATTTCGTCGAAAAAGTGTTTCCGACGGAATTTTCCTACAAAATCTTTTCCGACAACCAATTCTGACGGAAATTCCGTCGAAAACGGGTTTTTCCGACGGATAACAGGGTGTTTCCGACGGAATTTTTTCGTCAAAAATGGCCTGTTTTCTTGTAGTGAAATAATCACAAACAATTAAATTAAAAACCCCCAACTATATATACATGAACCTTATAAATTATTTTTCATAAACTTGAATAAAAAATCTAATTTTATTTAATTAAAACTACTCATAATAATTTTTATAAATACCCCATAATAATAATAATTAATTAAATAAGAGAAGAGAAGAAGAAGAGGTAGAAAAGCAAGGAAAAGAGGAGAAGAAGGTGGCGGCAAGGAGGGCAGCTGGTGGCTGCCGTGGCTGTGGTCGACGGCAGGTGGCAGCCGGAGGTGGAGGGTGGTGGTTGTGGTGTTTGACGCAAGAAAAGGTGAGAAAAAGAGAAGAGAATTAGAGAGAAATTAAGAGAGAATTAGAGAGTTTTGGTGTGAGTGTTTAACCATGAATCAAGGGGTATTTATAGGCTAGCTCATGCAAGAATTATGGTAGGAGAATGTAGGAAGAATTATGGTAAAAAGAATTAAGGAAATTAAATGGAGAAGGAAGCTAAAGAATTATGGAAAGTTTAATATTAAGGTGGCTAAGAATAATTCATTTATGGAAAGTGTGTTGTCATGAAAAATAATATGGCAAAAGAGCTTGCTTGGGGAATAATCAAGGATGAAATAAGGTAGGGAAATAAGATGATCAAATATTTAGGAGATGGGAAATAAGAATTAAGGAATAATAATAAATTTAAGGGAGATAATTAAAAATACAAATTACCAAAATAAATCACCCAAAATCCAACCATGGTGGCCGAAAATTTTGAGCTTCCATAGCTCAAATTTTCGGACCACATCAGTAGTATTTAGGGAGTTATTTTTCTAGATTTAAAGAATTAAAAATAATTGTGTAAATAATATATGTTGCATAAAATAATTAATTAAGAGAATACCAATTATTCACTAAATAAATTAACTAAGAAAATTAGATTTTCCACACTAGGAAAATCCGAAATTAATAGCCAATTAGTAAGAATTTTAGAACCTCCTAACTTAAATAATTAAAATATAATTTTTGTTTAATTAAAATATTCGAAGTATATATAAATAATCCGGTTTTTAAAATATGGATAATAAATCTTATTCAAAATCCTAAAATAATAATTAAGTTTTAAAATACTTTTGGCGCCAAAATTCAAATATCACTTTGGCTCCAAAATTCAAATAGTAAAATAAATTACGAAAATCCTTTTTAGAAAATAATAATTAATTAATTAGAAAATACGTATTAAAGTACGGGGTATTACACTAAATCAATACAAATAAAATATCAGTTGTTATAATTTGTTGCTATATGGCAACAAGACAAAAATATGATGCCATCTAGTAACAACAAGTAAGACAATTTGTTTTAAACAACAAATCAAAAACACGTAGCCATTAATTATTAAAAAACTAAAACATAAAATGTCACTTTTAATTACGCAATGAAAAAAAATATTTTCGTTGCTATTAAGCAACGTTTTTAAAAATCTATTGCCAAAATTAGTTGCTAAAAATCTTTTATTTTTGTAGTGGATTAAGGTCGGGGTGACTGGTTTCAGGGGTCGGGGTAGGTTAGATGTGGTGGTAGAGGGTCGGCCAGTCGGTTTCAGTTGCTAAGGGGGGTGGCCGGCTGGTTTCCGACGAACTTAAGGGGCCGGTGGGGTTAGGGTTCCGGCGAGGTTAGAGGTGGGGAAAGGGTGGCTGGAATATTTTTTTTTCACCTTTTTATTTTTATTTTTTGATATGTTTTTTTTTTAATTTTCATTCAACGAACTTTTAAGGCTCTTCTCAAGAAACATGGAGTTACCCACAAGGTTGGCTTGGCCTATCATCCTCAACCGAGCAGCCAAGTTGAGGTATCTAATCGGCAAATTAAGAGAATCCTTGAAAAGGTAGTCAACAAATCCCGGAAAGATTGGTCATTGAAGTTAGATGATACATTGTGGGCATTGCGAACGGCTTACAAGACTCCGTTAGGGACAACTCCGTATCCATTGGTGTATGGCAAAGCTTGTCATTTACCGGTCGAAATGGAATATCTTTCACAATGGGCCGTTAAGGAGATTAATTTAGATCTAGAGAAGGCCGGTGAAGTGAGACTTCTTCAATCGAACGAGCTAGACAAGATTTAGCTCAATGCTTACGAGAACCATAGGCTCTACAAAGAGCAAACGAAGAAGTTTCATGATAAGGTGATCCAAAAACGAGAGTTTAAGATTGGTGACAAGGTGTTGCTTTACAGCTCAAGAATTCGGCTCTTTCCTGGAAAGCTTAAGTCTAGATGGTCTGGGCCTTTCACAGTGACTGATGTCAAAGCACATGGAGCCATTAAGGTTGCTAGTGAAAATGGCACGAAATTCAAGGTAAATGGACAATGTTTGAAGCCATATACCGAGGGTGCTTTTATTGGAAAATTGGAGACTATTTCTCCCTCCGATCCACCAATTAATGCTTGAAATTGAGGTAAGAAGTTGAGCTCACGACTTTAAATGAGCGCTTATCGGGAGGCAACCCGATA